AATCATTCTCTCTATCCAAGGTTTGTTTCCCGATTTCCGATTTATGACGACTGACTAATTGAACAAATAAAATCAGTCCAGGCTTGGCCAAGCGCTTAGGGTGTCATGACTAAATCATCGAGGGGCCATAGATATCGCTTTTAACCCATTTAGGGTAAAAGGAACGGATAAACTTCAACTCATATGCTTGTACTATTTACTCATCAAATCACACACAACAATACGTTTTATAACATCAAGTTACTGATGCGTTTACATATTATCAATATGCAACCGACTCGCAAACAACAACTATATGTCTCTGTTTCAAGAATATGATATATTGTTGTCTCATAATCACCCGTGATAAATTCGATGAAGTGATTCAAATGAGCGTGAGTTTAATCTAATACCTAAATCATATTTTAGGAGTACTCATGAACACTGCATGAAACATTTTCTATTTCTAAGAACTTAAACAATCTACAGTCGGATTCATGACAATCTTAATTCACTACTTATTTCCAAAATTGTGATCGACTGTGGATGTTTGAATAATCCTAGTTATTCGGGAAGTAAAACATGCAAAATGAAACAACATAATAACCTAATCCAATATGGTCTCAAAACTTTTGAATATAAATAAAACATTTATTATTTAATCTATTGGATAAGGTGTCTAAGTCCATAACTATATTTGGTATGTACTTGACCCGATTTAGCATGGTCTATTTGGGTTGCACTTCACCGGAACAATTTGGACTTTTGAAAAGACGATATTTATGATTTATTAATATATTATAAGTTATAATATACTAATATGAAATCATATTATTTAATTAGTATTGATCAATAATTAATTTGGAATTAATTTTGTGGTCAAAAGAGACTAATTAATTATATAGGGATTGATTGTGTAAATCATTCATTCTTATAATGTGGGCTAATGATCCATGATTCCTTATGTTGGGCTTGACACATGTGGTGACCCATGAATATGCCATGGAGGTTAAAACCTATGGATCATGAGGAATGTGGAAAGTCATGCACATTAGGGTTCACATGGTGTAACCCTAATGTAACCACACTATATAAGAAGCCCTTTGGTTCACGAAATTGGCACCTAGATTCTTTACAAGAGCGAGGCCCATTTTTTTGAGCTATAGAGTCCTCTTCCAAGTTTCCAAGTGTTAGTGGTGATTTGTGATTCCACTTGAGGCATTCACATTATTGGTGCTAGGCTCTTAAAGCCCCAAGCAACAAACTATAACTAAAGGTATGTTATCTAACTTGTTTTATTACCCAAGTATCAATGTTTTGTATGCTAGTTAGGGTAATACCTTGGAAAATGAAAGTTTGCATGTATAATAGAGAAAACATAGATCCAAGGTATTTAGGGTTGCATGTACACCTTACAAGGTTAGAATGCTTAAAACCTTTTAGTGGTATCAGAGGCTAGGCTTAATTTCAATTATACTTGATGCTACATTTTTAGAACTGCTTTAAAAATCAAAAATTTGCTGTCTGGACAGTGGACTCACCGAGTTCACTAGGGGACCGGCGGAGTCCCTTCAAAAAATAGCC